ACAGACTAAAACATATACCAAATAAACCTGGAATAGAAGATGTTAGGGGATAATACTAAGTTTTTATAAGTGTTAAAAAGCAAGAACAAAGTGTTCGATGAAATCGGACAAGAATTTCTTCAGTTATATTTGATGGTGTGCCGAGGGATGTTGAGGCAGAAGTGCGAATTGATAATGGCAGGATTAGGGAGCGATTTTAGGTGGATGGGGGCTCAAAAGCTTTGGAACACGTACGGTCAAATACGAAGGGAGGGGGATTTGGAAACTCATAAGTCGTTTTCAAGTATTTTTTGTTCATACTTAATGGACTAATCAATATACTATATGTACTATATATATAAAAAACAAACTGTAATTTATTTTCTGCAAAACTAACAAGAAGTAAGAGTTTCTACGAAATTGGAGTGTATAAGACATCATTTTGAATTGCCCTTTTGAGCTAATTAACACATTTCAAATTTGAACGACTAAATTTTCGATTTAAAGTGATCAAATTAGTGTTCTGTTGGCATTTTATATAGTTGTACTACATTCAGTAAGATATTCACAAATCTTCTCTCCTATGTAAACGATATTAAGAAATTAATATTTAAAAAAGATGCACATCCGCCATTTTGAATTGCCATTTTGACTTTTAACTTACAGCTGCGCCATCATTCAATTGTAGAATAGTGAGAGGGAGAGGAAAAAATACAAATCTGCAGTGTATGGATATTTTCAAATGTAAAATCCTGAACAAAGCGGAATATAGAACAATAGACCAAAAAATCAGAGGAAATTCGAATTAAGTGTAGAAACGACTAAATTTTCTGAGTTTAACTAATAATGTTAGCATTCTATTATCATTTTCATACTTTTATTACACTCAGTGAGATATTCACACATTATTTCTCCTTTTTGAACGATATTAAGAGAAAATTAGAAAAATTGGATGTCCGCCATTTTGAATCGCCATTTTGAACTCTTTAACGCCATTTTCATGAAGGCCAGCATATTTTTTTCGGATTCAGCATACTCGAAATAGATAAAAACTATGCTGGACCAAATAATAATTACTTGCCGTTAGAAGTATTTTTTTTCTATAAATCGGACCAGACTAAGAGAAGTTAAAGTCATCACGTTTATTATAGAGCTTGTTGTTTAGATTACTACGAACATCTTTTACACGTAAAATATCCAAATTTGAAAGAGATGTGTCAGACTCTATTGTATCTTTTATCTCAAGCTCACCATGATATATTGTATCGTCATAATAATGGAAATTACAATTATTAATTGACAATAGGTCGTCGCTATATCTAAATATCGAGTTGAAGGCCACAACAAGTCTTTTCTTTTTACGCGTAAGATTTTGCACATAATCTTCTTGATATGAATACAATAATAGGTTTGCTTATAACCCATAACTATCGCCTCAGCGTCTTACCATGCAATCATGTCAACAACCGTTCCTTTTGGGTTGATTTGTAGATATGAGCTCCAAGTCAAAAAAATTAATTAACGAAAAATTATCGAAATCCCTAGGGTAGAAATAATTAGACTCGGCCTCGTTAAACAAAAAGTGCAAGCTGGTGAATCAAACAACTTCAATTTAAAAAGATCATAGTTTGTTGGAATAATTCTGTGTAATATTTAAAACTGGAGCCAGTGAAATTTGGATTCCTGAGTAACGTTGAAAGGAAGTTCAAATATTTTATTCCAATCTGCTTCATCAAAGAAAACATTATTTTCATTCCATTTTAAAAGAGAACTGATTGGCTCTCTCTTGTTATTTATAAATATTTTATACATATCTTTACACCCTTTATTACTTCTATAAAATATGAAAGTTGAATTTGGAGTATTTGATCCAATAACCTTTAATCTTTTAATGTATTCTATTACTGCATACTTCAGTCTTTTTAAAATAGCCCTCTTTAGACCATTATATTCAACAAAATTTGTTTTCACTTTTAAGTTTACTTTGGTATCAAAGCCTAAAAAGTTACCATCATTATCAAAAAGGTCATTTAAAAAGACAAAGCCTTTATAAAATAGCTTTTCCAGAACAAAGATTTTCTGTTAATCATTATGTGTGGGTTATTCCATATATGTTCTAATAGCACATGTTTGTTTTCTTGGTTTATATTTATAAGTCTTACCCAGGAATTAAGGACCTCTTTCCAAAAATTGTTTGTTAAATTCTTCGCTAAATTAGAATGTAATTTGAGCCCCTTATCCACATGCTTTCAATGTCTGTTCTTAGTTCAGCTTTAAACAACTTTACCCATTTAGTATCTGAGTGAATGAGTCTTCTAACCCAACTTGATTTAAGTGCAGAAATAAATTCTGTGTAATCTACCATTTTCAACCCTCCATATTTATAGTCCTGAATTATAACATTTTTCTTTATCTTATGTATTTTACTATTCCATAAAAAGTGAAACAACTCTGTCTCAAACATTTTTAGAAATTCGGGTTTAGGATTTGGTAGTGTAAGAATCAGATGATTTAGTTTTGGTATTATAAGAGTTTTAATTACTGTTAATCTACCAATTTGGGTAAGTTTTCTCATACTCCAACTGCATAGCAGTTTTTTTATTTCATTTAATTTTGACATGTAATTTAATTCAAGCGTTTCCTCCAGATTAACTGAAAATTTTACTCCTAGCAGATCAAAATTTGAATTATCCCAATCAAGCATCTACCGAGAATGGTGAAAAACTTCCTTTGAATATTTCTTACTTCTAATCCAAACCATTTTTGTTTTTAAGAAGTTAATTTTTAAACCTGAAATATTTGCAAAATAATCGAGTTCTCGTAAAATATCATCCATTTATTGAGGTAGGTGAACCATCTGAAATAAGGGATGTATCATCAGCATATTTTGAAGTTTATATTCTTCGCCTTCGATTGTTATGCCTTTAATGTCTTTATTATTTCGAATAAGAATTCTAAGTATTTCTGCACATTTATTATAACAAAAAGAGATACGATGAAATTGGGTCAGATTCAAATATTTCTTTTTCTAGTTGTTTTTTCTCTTTCATTTGTTTCTTTCTTTTTGTAAGTGGAATAAGAGATTGACTTTCCTCTTATTTCCATCAGTAAAATATCAAGAAAAAGTTGATCACTAATAGTAAATTGAATATCATCATTTTCTAGACAGCTAAGTCTTTCCATATTGTAAAGAGGGCAGACATACTGAACTTTGACCTCTTCAATATTACATTTTATCTTTTTTTTAACAAATTGCTTATCAGTTAACAAAGAGTTATTAAAGAATGGGTGGACTTAACGCCCTATTTTGGATCTTTTTGCGACTACTCTAACAAGTTGAAAATAAAGTGAATCCAAAATATATTACAGCCAATAGTATCAGAGGGTATATATGAATTTATAAAAGGCTTAAACTAGCCTTCTTTCCCCTTAAATTTTGGATTCTGTGGTTGTAATACATTATGAATATATCATAGAAAATTTTTTTTAAGTAAAAAAAAAAAACACTGGGTCACGGAATAACCGAGGAGGGGGGAGGGGGGTTCAAAGCACCTGTGATAGCTACATCTTCGGATTCCCACGGATGATATTTATCCAACGATGACGTAATTTCTGTCGTTCCATTCATCGTATAGTATACTTAACATTAAAAAGATCGCCGTGTACCCGGTTCAAACGGCTATGATAAGTAAAGAAAAGAGAATTCTATACTTTTTCACACTGTTAAAGTCCTGGTCCTGGTGAATAAGAAACATCACATAAATTCAATTTTCCGCAGTTAAATATCTTATGCCTATTTTTATTCCTTTTTTTGAACCATTGTTTACAACATATATTATTTACAAGTGTATCTATTTCCTTGATATTTGACCTTTAATTGGGTTTTTTCGTCTCCATGTAAATCTCTTAAAGTTTGGGTTATTTTCAACATATACATCATTTGGGTTTAAAGCATCCATAAATTTTAAAACTTTAAGTCGTGATTTTGGATTTTTTAAAATTTTTGTACTTAATTGAATCTAGCTCTTTATCAAAAACTAAATTGAAGTCACCTGCAATAACAATGTGTTGAGAACAAATTATCTCCTCTGTTTTATTAAGTAAACTAAAAAAAATGGGTCTATCATAATTTGGACCGTATATATCTATCAGTTAAAAAGGTAAGTCTTCAATGAGGACATGTAAAATAAGATAATTTCCCTCATTATCCTTGCAACTCGTTGCATATTTTTACTTCACAATTATTATTAAATAAGATAGCAACTCCTCTTGAACTGGATTTAAAAGAACTAAAAAAAAGCTTTATACCCCCACTGTGTTCTTATCATGTCCTCATCTTTTTCCACAAAATGTGTATCTTGAAGAAAAGAAACATTATATTTCTTAGCTTTCAGATTTTTGAAAACATCACTTCTTTAATGTGTATCCCCCAGGCCTTGGCAGTTTACTGACAGTATTTTTTATGCTATTTTCCATAAATGTCTGTAAGATGATAGGAATAATGCTGACCCCTAGTTGTCGAAAATACATATTTGGAAAAAAAGTTGAAAAAAAAAATATGAAAAAAGAAAAGCCTCTTGTTGTTGATTATTGGGGGGGGGGGGTTGAATTTTGCCAAAAACTTTTTTTTAGTTATGATGATAAATTGGAAGTAAGCACATTTATAAAGATTAAAGATGCTAACGGATTGTAGAGAATACTATGCACAAAGACTTTTCTATTTAACAGAGATAAAGGATACGATCATAGAAAGTTATGATTAAAGTTTAATAACTTAAACAATAACAGTTCTTGTTGGGGCACTTTATAGACCACTAAGTTCATCACCTGAGTATATGGAGGAAATGTACAACCAATTAGACAGTTTATTATTTCAACACAAGAGGTCAGTGCTATGGTTTGGAGGTGACTCTAACCTACCCGACATAGATTGGTCAATACAGTCTATAAATGGAAATCAGTGCTTATCTACTATTAACCATCGCTTCTTAAAGTGCACACTCAACTGTAGTTTAGACCAGATGGTTGACTTTCCAACACGCCATTCATCAACTCTGGACCTCTTCTTGACTAACAGGCCATCCTTAGTGAGTAGATGTGAAACTGACCCAGGGTTAGCTGATCATGATATCGTCCATGTCATATCTAGTGTCTCTCCTAAACGTGTAAAACCAACACCACGTAAAATCTACTTATGGAAAAGAGCTGACCTATGTACCATCAGCATGAATTGAGAGAATTCCGTGATAATTTTCTGGAACTCCATTAAGACCAGCCTTCTTTACATCCAGGAGGATCACATTCCCTCTAAACTTACTTTTACCCGCTATAGCCAACCGTGGGTTAACAATGCTGTAAAGAGGATAAGTAGACAGAAGAACAGAAGTTTTAGAAAGGCTAGAAAAACAGGGAAGAAAAAAGATAATGATAGATATCAAAGACCAAAGAAAGAGGCTAAAAACACCTGCCAGAGTGCTTATAATGAGTATATCAAGAACATCATCAGACCTGACGCATCTTCAAACCCTAAGCGGTTTTGGAGTTTCATTAAAGGAAAAAGAACAGAGGCATCAGGAGTTTCATCACTCAATGATAAGCATGGAGTATTAATATCAGACAGTGAGAAGAAAGCAAATATCCTGAATGGGCAATTCTTCTCAGTTTTCATCAAAGAGGAGAAAATCGACAACATTCCTGATAAGGGCCCTGTAGCAACCTCTAATGATAAAACGCCGCTTAATGATACAAATAGCATTAAGCGTTGCAATTGCAACGCCTAATGCCATAAATTATTGCATTAATAGCTGACATTATCAACCGCTTATGCTAAATCGCCGCTTAATGACAGAATTATATCATTAAGCGTCACAAATGCAGTGCAACATCAACGCTTAATGAAACAAACAAATATCGACATATTCGACGCTTAATGATACACACTAGTGTATCATTAAGCGTTGCAGTTGCAACCCTTAATGATATAAAATTTAGAAATCGCTTGTAATATCTAAGAGAAACACACATCCACCTTTCCTGAACAATGAGATATCACTTTTCAAAATATTTATATATGCCCTTGTGCTATAGAAATGGTAATTATTGAAGTTTTACTGTGTTTTCTATCTAGTCAAGGGAATGTCTTTAAGCCCCGTATGTTTAAGAGACAGACAGTCAGATAGCTGGAAGAAAGATGTACAATTAAAGGGATAAATAAAATGATATTCAAATCCTTTAAAAGAACAATCTTTTTGTTACTGAAAATACAGAAGCAAACAAGCAATAAAATTCCTTTTAATTTGATACAATGATTTTAATACTCAACTTAAAATATATAAAATAAAAAGAATATATTTAAATATTCCAAACTTTGTATCTTAGATTTGATACAGCTTAACACATGTCATTGTTAACGTTTCAGATACGCATGTACGTATCGAGAAATAAATATATAATTTTCACTATAATTGTATTTTTAATCTGCTTCGAATCTCCAAATTTTCAAAAGGAGAGACATCAATATTGATAATTAATGTTTAAATATATAAAACACAAAGAATACAAATGAATGCAATACATTGAATAATATTTTTTTTTGAGAAAAAGGTTCATTTAATGCAGCCCGGAGGACCGGGCTGCTCTATAAGTTTAATTGTTGGTGTATGGGGATTGGGGTGGGAGTAGTTATTGAGAATTAAAGGTTTTCTAAACATTGAAAAGATTGTTAGTCAGGATGTTCTTTCCCTTTATAAATAACGAGATACATAACATATTTACCTCCATTAAATGAATCTTTAAAAATATATATGTTTTTAATATTTAATATATAAAGTTGCTTATCATTTACTATCGAAAAAACGACAGGTCCCTTTTTTTAGAACATTGAATTTTACTTCTCGCATAAAAACGTACTCTGCACAATTCGTGTTTTTATATTCTAAGATTGAAAATTAAATACATTTTTGAATATAGGTGATGCATGTTTCTATGCTCAATTTATATTTTATGCAGCCAACATTTACTCGAGGAATTGAAGTTTGAATGGTATCGTTTTTGTTTGATATTTATCCGACTTTAAGTTTTCAAAATATTCGCAACTATCGTCTCCATCATTTAGACGCATGCCTTTTTCACACATATCGAAGCAGTTTGATGATCAAGACTCATTTCCATTGTTTACTTTATATATTTCCCGGGCGACAATTGATGGTTACATCAATGTTTTCTTGTCCTTTGTTATTAGTTTTACTTGAATACATTACTGAGGCATGATTATTTTAGAATCAATTTTGAAAACTGGTACATAATTACATATAATTATCAAATTATAAAAATCATGTCGAATGAAGTTGATGAAGCTGATTTTTTTTTAATTCTAAATGACGCATACTTCATTTTGTAGTATATTCGCCTGTCTGTCAGTAAACATTTTTTCAAAATGCTACTCCTCCTGCAGTTTTGGTCTGATTTCAATATAACTTGGCACACAAGTAGACTACACTAAGATACTTATTTTCTGTATCGGTTTTTGATTTCTGTGAACGGTGTTGCCTTTACTAAAAATAGAAATAATATAATAAAATGCTACTTATCCAACATTTTTGTCTGATTACCAAATAACTTAGCTCACATGTAGACCACACTTAAAGATATCTGTTTTTGATTTCGATGAACGGTGTTGACATGGTTACTAAAATAGAAATTTCTGTGAAATACTTTCAAAATGCTAATCCTCCTACAGTTTTAGTCAGATTGTAATATAATTTGGCATGCAAGTAGACTATATACTGGCATACTTTGTGTTTTTGATTTTGTTGATTGATGTTGCCATGGTACCTAAAATTGAAAACTCTGTAAAATTTTATTGAAAGCTATTACTAAAGTTGTAGTTTTATTGCAATCTTGCCACAAAAATAGACTTAATAAAGGACCATCATTCTATTTATTGCTTTTGTTAAGTTTTAAGCCCCAACTGCTACTTTTTTCTTCCTTTATTATAAGTAAGTACAAACGAACAGAGCTACAGTCTCGACAGAGATATATCTTTTCTTGCGATATATAAGACTAAGTTTACATCTGACTAATATTATATGAAATCGATTTTTAAATGAATAGTTCTTTTTTCGGTACAATAGAGACCCTCTCTATTAATGCATGTACTAGTATTCATTTCTTGTTCATTATTCTTTTAGAGAAATGGTCCTGTTCCTAAAAAAATGTTGGAACCCTTTTTCTGAATCTTAACCTTAAAATATAATGAAATATTGAGAATAGGAATCAAAACATAATTACATCAAAGTTTCAAAGTCTTTACTATTGTTAATTAAGTTCCAAAGTTTTCACTGTAGTAAATCAAAGTTTTAAAGTTTTTACTATATCAAATCAAAGTTCCTAAGTTTTCACTATTAATAGTAATTTTAATTTTCTAAATGTTTACTTTGGTACTTTAGTACTATAGATAACTGTAGTATGTTTTTAAGGATATGTTCGTTTTGTTTTTATCCCAGCCGTGAAAAAAAACTCTAAATTTCAGTTTGTCGTCCAATGTAACATCACTGACTTTCTCAACAAAAAAACAAAAAAAAAAGCCGATCAAACTACGCTGTAGTGTAATGGAAGTTTTCAATTCAAGGAGAAGTAATGAGACAAAGTATGTTTGTAAGCGTCGGGATGGGATGGGGTAAGGGTTATTTACATTAATAAATATTTTATGTTGGGTAAGGTAGGATTCTTCTCACATTTTTTGTATTTAAAAATTAATGAAATTTTCACAGAATCAAGAGAACAATATCACTAAGTGCTGGTATCAGTGAGATTAAATTTGACCGTTTAATATTAGAGGCAATGTCAGGTCAAGGACATTACCTTTTTCCTGGACATTAAGGTCATACGACAAATTTCCTTAATAATATGTTTTGTATTTTAGTCTCTTCTTATCCTGCATTTGTCCTACTCTATATGTATAGAATCAGATGAGCTAGTGACCAAGTGGAATCAATTTAACATCTAATCATGTAGCGCCAAGAATGCCATGCCTTAAATACCAATCAAAGTACTGAAAGTACTGAATCGAGGTGACGTCTTCCAGTAAAATGTGAAATTCACCCCCAAATACATGTAACTAGCATATGCAAAAACATTTAATCTAGGAGAAACCCCAATGAAAATCACTGTAAAGAAAAGAGTGAGCAACACGACTATGCATTTTGTAACTAATTTGATGTATAAAATTTGAACTATAGTTATCCTTAAGTACCCGTCACCATAAGAGGAAAATATCTCGCATTTCTCTTGAAATTATATTTTCATTTGTTTCTTGTTACACAGTAGCTGCTGATCTGTAGCTCTTCGAAAAAAAAAATCACAGCTACAGTCCCACTAATTGAAAGAGAACTTTTTATTGCACACACAGATATGCGCGGTTTCTCGATTTACTAGAATTTTACCGTGTTTTTAATCTGTCATCTCAAAATATTACTAACCGTGTGTTCCTAACATACTTGAGTATTCCTTCAACATATCGCCTATTTATACTGCAATTTTGGTTTGCAAGATAATTCCGTCCAACGCACTTCGTGCAGATGTCAACAACGAGAGTACTTCGCAGAGGAGTAAGGAATTTTTAAAAAATGTATCTTTTTTTCAATTGAGGTAAGAATTTGGAGGAACTATTCCAGAACTAAGCACAATCTTTAGTGCGCAACAAATATACAGTTTTTTTTCAAGGGATGGCACTGTAGCTCTCCGGTCTGTCAAAATATTTTTTGGAAGAGTAGTTACACAGTAATAAGGATGAACATATTTAATGGCATTAACAATAAAGTGCACACACTGGGTTTACAAGAAGCCACTAAATAGAATGAGTAACCTGCTAGTATCATTTTGTCCAATGTATCCTTCCTTTGTCACCAGGGTCCACTTCAATATGCAAACGTATTAAAGAAACCCCCATGGTAAAACTTTTCATGAACTTTGTTTCAAAAAGAAAATAATGAACGTGTCATATATTTTTTAAATTGCAGCATGCAGGCTCTGGGGCCATAAAACTTAGATGAGCTCACTCTTGATCTCGGTCTCACTTTTCTACAAATACATGTTCAAGTTAAGTTATTATTTATAGGCAAAAGTAATTAGATCAAAAGTGCCCGGAAGAAGGAGACAGCATTTATCATTGATGCAGCTAGTGTCTAATGCAATCAAAAGCCCTCTCTTTAGTATTTTTTTTTTTGCAAAGAGCAAGCCCAGTTTGACATTTTAAAGAAACGTTTAAATTATGCCTTTTAAAATTTCCAAATAGTAGATTAGGGGAATTAGGGTGATTTTACTGTAGTGTCTTTAGTGCATGTCTCTATCTACAGCATAATACAATCATTTTAACAATAGAAACGATCTACCTTCGGTGTGACATCGATAGATATTTAGCTGTGTTAACGTTGCGTCTTGTTGTGTATAACTTGTAGCAATGTAATTTTTCATATGCAGAATCCTAAATTCTAGAGGAGTTCCGACCGAGTATTCGATGACGTTATTAGCATGCACCGAAATAGGTACAATGATAGCAACAATCAGATTTATAAGATCGGGACGATGTTTTGCGTTCTAATTAGTTTTTTTTTAATGAATTCAGAAACAGAATAGTTGACATAACTTCGCTTTTGTGATAATTTACGGTGATTTGCGAAATTAACTTCGTTTTTGTAATAATTTACGGTGAATTTTGGAGCTCAGTGGGGACTTTTGCGCCTCAGACGCCTCTATGTTAACCTCAAATTTATTTAATTGCATGTTTCAATTCAAACAGAACAACTCTTCCTTCTGTTTTGTTTTAGTGTATACTGTTCTGTTCTCTCACTTGTCTGCAATCGACGTTCAATACACATACATGTAGGTCACGATATCTACTCCAGCCAGTTAAATAGTTCAGAGCGTAGGGATACTTCATATCTTATTCCCACTCAGGAACTTATATTTATTATATGTAAATCCAAAAAACACTACTTACTGCTTGGAAATTAAATTGAATACATTGAAGACTTTGTTTTGTGACTGAAATTCTGGTTTTAATACATGTATAATCAGAGGACTATATTTCTCAGAAAACTGATAAAAATTAACGTTTTAATTTTTCCAATCAATCTTGCAAGTGCTATTGTTTACATATTAGCAGCATATCTCTGATTTGATCCTTGCCTTCTAAGGTATCATATATTAACAACAAGATTACTGATTTATTCCGAAGAGCGAAGATCAATAAGAAAATGCAAATGGTAGTGATCACAGGGGTTCGCCATTAAGATATAGAGCAGCTATCGAGGCTGACTTACGTCACCTCGAAAAATCAAGCATGGCAAAGCATTGCACTTTATGTTTGGAATAATAAGAAACAATAATTTCTTATATCATTCAAAAGTGGTTAATTCTATTCCTAGCTAACTAGAAAGATTTCAGTCTGTCTCCACTGCAATTATCAGTAAATAATGATCTATTTCGGTAGGCATGTACCATTTATACTCGCCTGTTAGTCGGTTCTGCTTATAAGTCTGAAATTTAGACATTTTTTTCACTCAAGGCTGACGTTAAATCGCGGAATGTCCCTAACAAAAAATACTATAGAAAACTATATAGTTTACTATAGTTTAATATAATTAACTAGAGAAGCAAAGTAAAAACTTTGAAACTTTGATTTGCTATAGTGAAAACGTTGGAACGTCGCAAACCACGGTCAAAATGTACGATCCTCTCCCATTCTGGCTGTAGTTGCATGAGACGAGAATATTTTGTAGCTCATTAAAGAATTAACCACTGCAAGTAAAGCATAGTTGGACCTTTCATGCGACTTTTCAATACCCATTCGCAGTGAGCGAAATACTTCTGATGAATACTAGTATTAATAGAGAGGGCCTCTCTTGTACCGTTTAAAAGAACTATAAATTGAAATCTATTTCATTTTGATATTAGTTAAATGTAAACGTAGTATTATATATCGAAAGAAAAAAAAAACTACAAATGAAATATGCGTCATTTGGAATTTAAAAAAAAACAGCCTCTTCAACCTGAGTCAATATATATATTGTAATTTGATACATACTAGAATTCAAAAGTGATTCTAAAATAATCATGCAACAGTGATGTATTCATATAACACTGCTCAAAAATAAAGCATAAATGAACCTTTTTCTCAACACAATATATATTATTCTATGTATTACTTGTATTCTTTGTTATATATCCTTAAACATAAGTTGTTAATATTGATGTCTCTCTTTTTCGGAATTTGGAGAAACGAAGCAGATTAAAAATACAATAGTGAAAATCTCGATGCGTATATCTGAAACGTTAACAGTAATATGTGTTAAGCTGTATCAAATCTAAAATACAAAATTACGATAAAAATATTCAAATATAATATGCATGTATAAATATTTAAGGTTGACTATTCAAATCATTGTATCAAATTAAAAGGAATTTTATACATTTATTGCATGACAGTGAGGGAAATATGAAGACTTATTCAGCCAAGAAAATCATATTCCCCGAGGGCTTCGCCCGAGGGGAATATGATATTTCTTGGCTGAATAAGTCTTCATGTTTCCCGAACATTCATGCAATGAATTGTTTATTATACCGAAACAAGCAAAACCTTTGAAATAAACATAAACTTTCAAATTCGGCACTGCTCTCAAATTCTCAAATTCTCTTTCATTGTTAACGTAAAGGTTTGTGACGTCAGGCTATTGTGACGTCTACTACTCTCGGGAGTTTTCGTTCAACTAACGAGAACTTTATTACGGGAAAAATCACTAGGTGTTCCGAAGAGGTGGAATATGATGAAAAGCGTGCCGACGACGGGAATTTAATATGAAGTTTTACGGCCCGATCACGTGATAACCTAGAACCAATCAGATAACGCGTTGTGTAGAATATTTATAATGAGGTATAATAATATTGCTTGTTTGCCTCTGTATTTTCAGTAAAAAAGATTGTTCTTTTAAAGGATTTGAATATCATTTTATTTATCCCTTTGTTTGAATCTCTTTCTTCCAGCTATCTGACTGTCTGTCTCTTAAACATACGGGGCTTAAAGACATTCCCTTGACTAGATAGAAAACACAGTAAAACTTCAATAATTACCATTTCTATAGCACAAGGGCATATATAAATATTTTGACAAGTGATATCTCATTGTTCACGAAAGGTGGATGTGTGTTTCTCTTAGATATTACAAGCGATTTCTAAATTTTATATCATTAAGGGTTGCAACTGCAACGCTTAATGATACGCTAGTGTGTATCATTAAGCGTCGAATATGTTGATATTTGCTTGTTTCATTAAGCGTTGATGGTGCACTGCATTTGTGACGCTTAATGATATAATTCTGTCATTAAGCGGCCATTTAGCATTGGCGGTTGATAATGTCAGCTATTAATGCAATAATTTATGGCATTAGGCGTTGCAATTGCAACGCTTAATGCTATTTGTATCATTAAGCGGCATTTTATCATTAGAGGTTGCTACAGGGCCCATCACTATTCCAGGACATGAATGTTATCAACATCAGTCTGGTGGAATTAGGAAACTCCTTGCCGGCCTAAATCCATACAAGGCCACTGGTCCTAATAATGTCCCATGCAGATTACTGAGGGAGTTTGCAGACGAGATAACTCCAGTATTCCAACTACTCTTCCAGGCTTCAGTTAACCAGGTTACAATACCAGCTGATTGGAAGTCTGCAAATGTAGTTCCAAACTATAAGAAAGGGGACAAAGAAAATCGGAGAACTACAGACAGGTGTCCTTGACTTCAGTTACATGTAAACTTCTCGAACATATCATGGTCAGTAACATCATGGGCCATCTAGATACCAACAAGATCTTGCATGATGCACAACATGGATTCAGGAAACTCCGCTCTTGTGAAAACCAAATCATGTTAACAGTACAGGCTCTGGCCAAAACATAGACAACAAGGGACAGACAGATGTCATACTTCTAGATTTTTCAAAAGCTTTCGACAAGGTCCCCCACAAACGCCTCCTGTACAAGTTGAGCTATTATGGGATTAGAGGCTGCCATCTGCAATGGATAGAGGACTTCCTAACTGGACGCATCCAACAGGTTCTATTAGAGGGAAAAACATCAGGTACAGCTGCTGTAAAATCTGGAGTACCGCAGGGGACTGTCCTGGACCACTTCTATTCCTTCTTTTTATTATCGACCTTCCAGATCATGTATCCAATATTCAACGGTCCGCCTATTCGCAGATGACTGTGCCCTATACAGAGACATCAAAAATGAGGATGATGCTGCACAGCTCCAGAAAGATCTAGATGGACTTCAGAGATGGGAGAAAGAATGGATGATGGAATTTCATCCTGGAAAATGTCAGGTCTTACATGTTACCAACAAAAGAAAGGTGGTAAACGTACCATATGCCATCCACGGTCATGTCCTCGAGGTAGTTGAAACAGCTAAATACCTGGGAATCTACCTTCATCAAGGCCTGAAGTGGAACCACCACATTGACACCATCGCAAAGAAGGCCAATCCCACCTTCGCCTTCCTGAGACGCAATCTACACCAGTGTCCATCAGAAACAAAGGCCCTATGTTATCAGACCTTAGTGAGGCCCATCTTGGAATATGGGAGTACCATCTGGGATCCTTACACCAGGGACAGTATTGGCAAATTGGAGATGGTCCAAAGACGAACTGCCCGTATGGTAACATCTAACTACAGGACAACTAGCAGCGTAACAGACATGCTACAACAGCTGCAATGGACATCTCTTCAGGAGCGACGTGGTCAAGCAAAAGCTGTTATGATGTACCGCATAGTGTACCAGCTCATTGACATTCCACCACTCCTCCTGTTTCCAGCCACAACAACCAGAGGAAACAGCATAATGTTCCTGGTTCCTTATGCCAGAACCCTGGTGTACCAAAAATCTTTTTTTTTTCCGGATGGTATCCTTGTGTGGAACTACTCTCTTCCATCTCCCTAGATAGCTTCAAATTGAAGCTATCCAGCCACACCACCCGACCATAAATCCAATCAATCTATTTTACCTGCACTGTAAATATATATTTTTTAATTCACCTTGTTTTCCTTGCACCACCATGCGCCAGTACGTTATATCAGAAGTTCTGATTAGTACTTATTGGAAGAAGAAGAAGACGAGAAAACTCTGGTTTTAAACAAATCATAACTTGACTATTTTGTATTAATTAGATAATGTATATTTGTTTGATATTATGCAGATTATGTGCATAGATTCTCCCATTGTTATGTGGTATCTAAGTCCAATATTAGATTTTCACATATTATGTTCACACCAGGCAATACTTGCAATGAAAAGAAAATTGTTTACCAAATGCGAAAAACAAAACAGGAAATACCACATTTAAAAAAAAAAGCTGGAAGAATTGGGTAAAAAATAGATATTCCGGAATATTTCAATAGACACACCTGATGTTTACACTGTTAAAGGTAATAAGGTAATTGGTAAACATATATTGCCCCAAAGAAAAACGTTTTCCCTCAATTTCGGCGGAATATTTGTATAAAACAGTTACGTGCACAAGAAGATATGGTGTCCAAATGACATCTTACTGTAATTAAAACCCATTTTAAAAATCGAAGATCATCCATATTGTTTTAGGGAACATTGTGAAAATTTGCTATATTTTCTACCAAGTGTTCATTTTATCTAAAACAGATCAATTTGATTTTTAAGGGAATTAGATTTTTAGGTTTATATTTGTTATATTAACAAACTGCTGGCATTTCTAAATGGCCTAAGTTCTTTGTACCTTGAAAACAATGGTGACGTAAACATACACCGTAGATATTAAGACGAAACTCGAGAATGAAAAGAAAGGAATATGTTATTTTAATTTTGTAAAGACTGCATGAAAATCCTCCTTCTACATAGAGTCGTTTTAGTGGAATAACAAGACCCTGGAATACTGTATCTGTAACCCTCTGTACATGTACTCAATGAATAGGAGGAAGTATATATTTTACAGTGTCCGACTTTCGTTTGTCATGTGTTTTCATTCGTCGAAAACATCATCCTTGTAAAAGTACTGACTTTCAATTAATATTTAGTTTTCGTTCTATATGATGTGACGTTATATTTCTGTATATATTCAATAAAATATGATTCTCTTTTTCAATTAATTACCTAAGACATTTAAAAGTGCAGAACTAAATTATTCACAGGATCACGTGTTTCTGTAGAAAACTAGAGGCACAGCTAAGCACAGGCGTAAGTAGCTTTATTCAAATATTTTCCCCTACAAATAGATTCTTTGAGGTTGAAATTTGGAAGTATACATATTATGTCGCTAAATAAGGTTGGCAATTTAAATAGTACATGTCATCAAATTGAAACTACATTTTTAAGTAACTTTTGCGTAATTCATTTTCAAAAAAGAACAATTTTCATATTTCATTTTAAAAAATGATTCTGAAAATTATCAACCAAATTTTATATTTTTTTCTTCTTTTTTCAGGAAGTAGGGAGCTTGTATCAAGTCTTCAGATAAAGGTAGATATTGTCTTTTGTACGGCACTTGCAAAATGTGAAGATAAGTGATCGATCGTGTAAAGCATGTAAACAAAATGAATGTTGGTTGTAAGAACCTTAAGAAACACCAGGGGATAGGATTAGTGCTTAGGACGTTTTGTTTGCATACGATAACCTAAAATATTGCGTATGAAAGCTGATATGTGTTCGTTATCTTCAAAATTTCTATGAAAAGTGCATAAAAATTTGTCAAATAGACATATCTTTTCATCATTTGATTATTTGTTAAATGAATGGAGAAAAAAAATATTGCATAGTCTTCCTCAGTGTATATTTTGTTAATATGAATAAAACATATGGAGATAGAGAAAAGCATTCAAAATTTAAAGTCCATTAAAGCAATAAAAATCGGAAGCAGAGCCAATTCGGGCCCCTAATACATCACAGGTGGACTCAGATGCCATGGAGGAGTGAGCATCCCCTGTAATCATGTCACATTCACTGTTTGCTGCTTTGTCATTATGGTCAAAAGAGGGGGAAAATTAGACAATTTGGTGTGTATAAAATGATCTAACAGGTAGTGGGAAAAACGCTAGTCAGCACTATCAATGTTGTTTTTGATTTGCTATTTTCTTGATAACATTTACTATAAGGATATGGAGATAACGAACAGTATTCAATATCAAAATCTATAAAACAATACAAAATAGTAGCAGAGCTAACACGGACATCCGAACCATCAGAGGTGGGATCAGGTGCCATGGAGGAATGCGTATTCCCTACTCACCGGCCACACCCACCGTGTGCTCCTTGTCATGATCGGAAAATAACTGAAAAATCCGTCGTCAATTCAGTTTATAAATAATGGACAAACAATTAGTTTGACAAACGTCAGTCAGCATTTAACTCAATGATGCATTGCAGTTGTTGACAGGTCATTGTATCGACCATAGAACATACAAAATAATGACTTTAAACAGGACTGCTGTCATTCTTGTTTTATCAACTTGCTTGCCAAAAATTTACATCGTTTTAGAAATGTTCATAAGTAGAGCATTCTCTTGTGTATCGAATCAATAAAGATTTATACACTCCGTATGCAGGTGATGAAAGTATATTGCTGCAAAATTGAGGGAAGTTGACGATAGAAAGGTTAAAGACATCACGTTTATCAGAAAGCTTGATTGTTAGATTACCATTTATGTCTTTTTCAAGTAAAATATCCAAGTATGAAACAGATGTGTTAAACTCTGTGGTATCTTTTATCTCAAGCTCATTAGGATATATCGTATCGACGTAGGAATTGAAATTATCATTTTGATTGACAATACGTCGTCGATACATCTAAATGTCGAGTTGAAGGCCATAGTAACTGTTTTCTTCTTTTCTGCATAAGATTTTGTACAAATTCTGCTTCATAAAAATATGCATTTAGGTTTCATATAATAATGGGGCGCAAATGGTACCCATTAGAATTCCACGAATAGATCGTTTGAATACCTGGTCTCTAAAAACCACATAGATATTGTCAATCAGAAACTCAACATCTCCTTGATGTCAACTTCAGAGTACTTGTGTGTGCAATCAGAATGTGTTTTAACAAAATAATTTTGGCAAATGATCAATGACCAGGTAAGCATATTTACGAGTTCCATTTTTTTTAAAGCTGCTGTCTATGATATCAGAAAGCCTGGACTTTAATTAATCTTAGGGAATGGTAATGTATGAAGTTGAAAAGTCGTAAATTTCTAAGCTTTTGGTTTTGGTAAAATCTTGTGATTTCAAATTGTCCAAAAGTTCTTTGGAATTTTTGAGTATCTACATCTGATTCACACCACACCCTGAATACATTGTTGCACAGTGCTCTTGAAGTTTTTCCTTCACTACCGTCAACATCTTAGTGAGGAGTAACGAAGGAGGCTTGGTTGAACATTTACTTGAACCCGCAATGTATCTTTGTTTGTAAAGATTTTTATGAAGTTTCGGAATTCAATATATATATAGGGTAGTTAATGAGCCTTTAGTTACAAACAGGGACAATGTTCCTACCTACTTTGTCGGCAGGGACTTGTAACTACGGATCATGAAATCTATCTATACTGAAAGGAAAAAGAAACGCATAAGAACATAATATGCGAAAAATCAATGACTATGTGGCCGAAAATTAAGAAAATTGGTCATGTATGTATTTTTGTTACTTTGTGCTAAAATTGCTGGTCAAAACTACTCAACCATGAAATGTATGGCATCACGTAGGGGAAATGATAAAAAGCCAAAAACACGTGCATGTTGATGATGACAATTTTATGATAACATTTTGTAGTGCTAATCGATGCATTGGAGTTGTAGACATCGTTTTCCGCATTTGCAATCGGTATAAATTTCATGCAATCATGGTATGGCTGACGGAAGTTACACTGGTTCCAGTAATTGAATTGCGTAAGTGAATAAAAAGGCAACAAGATGTTGCTGTGCAGTTTGTTTTAAACTTTTCAACAAAAAAGGGTTTTTCAGTTGTCAGAGAGTAACTTAAAAGGTTTCCAACCAACCATGGCGGTGACGTTGACAACGTCACATCAAGATAGGGCTTTTGATCATGTCACCTCGGTTATTGTCAAGGTATTATCACTGAAACCGATATTTATACAGCAAACTATCATACCAATATTTTCACCCTAAAATTGACAGAAATTCTCTGCTCTAATTTGGTCCGCGAGCTTGGCAACTTTTACGTCGATTTTACTCTCACGCGCGCACCTACGCGTCGTGTGCGTAATGTTTTAAGCATGTTCACACTGGGAAAATGTAGCCAGTGTTTGTCGAGACTTTCTCACAAGTATTCTAAGTAAACTAGCTGGATTCTGTAAATTCTATCCTAAAATGAAAATTCGTGGCACTCATTTGGCAGGGGGCTTTGTTGGCTTTGGAATAATACAGCTACTATCATCCATTAAGACTATTGTCGGAAGGGTTGAATAATAATCAAATGAGAAAGATAAATGCTCTAGTGACATTAATGCACAGGAAAATCAAGGCTGTTACCAATATGCAAGGGAGATGATGAGAATTTTTATTTTAATGTTGGGGGGGTATCGACATATCAATTTCAATAACTCAGAATTTATCAGTCAAAGTCACACGAGATTTTGGTTACTTGTTGTTTAAAGTTGAATTAAAATGTTTGATAACAATACTGTAAAACATTTTCAAAATAATAGTTTTAATTTAATTTAAAAGTAAAATATGCGTTTCTTTTTCCTTTCAGTATATATTTTTTTTATCTCCGGGTTATTAAACACAGAAGGAGAGATGGTTTTCACATTGTCCTTCAATCTTTTAAATTGCGACTTTGATATGGATCTGATACATTTTATCCATTCTGACAGAGTGTCAACGTCATCTTTTTCATACCTGGCCCATCGTCTGGCGTTATTTTCAACAGAATCCACAATATTAATGAAATTTTGACGCCAGTTGAAGGAGCAGGGTTCCCTATATTGAGGTACATTATTGACAAACAACTTGATGGCACACGAATTTCAGCAGTTTGAATTCGTTAAAAATCATAATTTAGTAAGTTCTATTGTCAATACAATGACATTGTAAACAAGTACAATTTATTATTGATTCAAATACAGCTTTTTCATACTTATTGTTGATCCATCTTTTATGCACTAAATGAAAGACAGATCTCACGTTATTTTAAATTATGACAAAGAGCAGATGAACTTCCGTTGCCAGTTGAATGAGAGGGGTTCCCTATATTCAGGACCTTTTAAAATAAGTGATCAAATGTCCTCATTATTTACCATATTTACGTCACCTGTGATAACATGTCCAGCAGGATTTAAGTTATAGGGCGAAGAAGAACATGAAAAAGATAGAAAATTGCGCCCATGTAAAAAGGGTCCTTATGGCAATTTTTATGCATTTTGAATTTTTCACGGATTCTGATAGAGTAAGGTTAGAAGTTGTCAAATATAAATTTTTATGGCCCTACGTCTACTCTAAGTAGGTTTTTTCTTCAGTTTTATCAAATATACTTTAACAGGTTAATAATGACGTCATGTTTTTCAACAATGTCAAACGTTTTCAGAGTGAACGTTAAATGATTTTCTTCTGTAATTTTACTACGGTGATTAATAGTTTTACAATATTTAATATTTTTCCATGCACATTATTTTTATCTAATTGTCTCTTTTAATTATTGATAATTATTTGATAGTTATATATATTATGGAATCATCAGTGGTGTATAGTATTATGAGTGAGTGTTTGTTTTACAATTCACTTTTCTATGACACCAGGGGGAGACCTGAACAGTGGGCAACATCCATTCATTTTTTTTTTGAAACAATTATTTTCTTAAAATATTTACTGGTAATCCATGCAAGAGTAATTTGATAAGCCTGTAGAATTTATTTGAAAATTATTTTAATTTAAACATTGCTCTCGATAGGTCAAGATTTCAGCATAAACGATATATCTTTAGTAATAATTTATGTGAAAAAAATTAATTTTTTAAAAAATTATATCTGGAACAACATTACGCTACCTAAATGCTACTGAGAAGTAAAAATTTATTTGATTGTTCTTACTTTCTAAGTTTTATATAAAGACAGAAAATTGTGAAGTGTGGTACATGTAACATGTAATAACGATACACAATAGACAGTAAATAAAAAGGAAATTCGGTTGGTTCACTGCATCTATAAGATGTCTGTCTTCATTGGGTCAATAATGACACTGCTTTTTTTGAAAATATAAAGGATACACGAAATATTTTTCAATCTAGCAGTAAAAATATTTTAATATTAACCAATCAAAAGGTGGAAATTTTACAAACAATTTAATGAGTTATAATCCGCAATCATTTACACAATAGATAAACCCAGGATTAACATTTGTAGGATTATGTGTATGTTGGTGAGGGGGGGGGGTTAAAAATCTAAATGGCAGAAACTTACAATTCTTGTGAACACGAGTTAAAATAAATAATAAAAATATTTTATTTTACTTCAAGACACCTGCAGAGTTCTTTTTACTTCTTTTAGTTTTCTAATTTTCCCCCCTACATATTTGTGTAAAAATAATGTTATAGCACCTGTGTAACACCTGTTAAGCAATATAATATATAAAGTTAGTAATGTTATATGTGGCAATATATGCAATGTATAAGCTAATAAAGGTACTTCAACTTCTTTATTTCTCCATCAATGTACTGGTTCATCAATAGACGCTGTTAAAATAAATCACGTGCAGAGCGGGACAAATAGGTAGTCGTGGATTGGCGGAATCAAGAGCATGTAAATATAAGGAATAACTGTTAGATTTTTCGATTATATGAAGGTGATCAATCGATTGGCATGCGTGATAACTTTATGGAAAAACGCCCTCGGTGTTATGCAAATTATCACGCAAGCCAATCCTTTGACTTCATCATGAAGTCGAAAAATAAGACATAATTTCATTTAATTTTAACTTATAAGTGGTGTAAATAAGATGTGGATACTTAAAACTTCCAAGGAACTCTTGGAAAATTTGAAATCACAAGATTTTACTAAAAAAAAAAATCAAATTAAATTAACAATCATTATGAGCATTTCCATTCTTATATCAATGCGATATATTCTTGGGAGCTCGAGATGAAAAATAAAAGATACCGCGACGTCTGACACATCTTTTTCATATTTGGATAGTTTACTTGAAAAAGACACTATGGTTATCTAACTTCCGAGCTCTTTGATAAACTTTTACAATTACTGATACAATGACCTTGTCAGCAAATTCAATTTATCATTGAATCAAATGCTGACTGACGTTTTTCATACCAATTGTTAGTTCATTATTTATACTCTGAATTGACGACGGATTATTCTGTTATTTTCTGATCATGACAAGGAGCACACGGCGGGTTTGACCGGTCAGCAGGGGGTGCTCACTCCTCCATAGCACCTGATCCCGCCTCTGATGTTTCGGAAATCCGTGTTTGCTCTACCTCTATTTTGTATCGTTTAATGGACTTTGGGATTGAAAACTGTTGGTTATCTCGATACCCAATTCTTTCGTCAACAAGATGACTCCATACTATTTGTTAGTCCATTATTTATACACTGAATTGTCAACGGAGTTTTCTGTTAATTTCTTAATCATACATCGTCGAGCACACGGCGGGTGTGACTGGTCGGCAGGGGGTGCTCACTCCTACTTTGTCAGCAAATGCAATTATCAATGAGATAAATGCTACCTGGCGTTTTTCATACTAATTGTTAGTCCATTATTTATACACTGAATTGACAGATTTTTCCGTTATTTCCCGATTATAATAAGAGGCACACGGCGGGTGTAACCTGTCGGCAGGGGATGCTCACTCCTCCATGGCACATGATCCCACCTCTGATGTTTCGGGGTCCGTGTTTGCTCTGTTTCTGTTTTGTATTCTTTTATGGACTTAAATATTGAATACTGTTCGTTGTCTCCATATCCCCCTCTGATATTTTGGAGGTCTATGTTTGCTCTGCTCCATTTTGTATTGATTTATGGACTTTTGATGTTGATTACTGTTTGATATCTTCAAATGTTTCATTTCACACTAAATCGTTACGGATTTTTGTTTGCCCCATCATGACAAGGAGCACAGGTTGGGTATAACCGGTCAATGGTGAATGCTTATTTATCTTTGGCAATTGATTCCATTATTGGAGTTCTCTGTTTACTTTGCTCCCAGTATGTTTGACATCTTCATATTTAATAATGTGTATATACTTATAACTAATATAAAGGTTATGAAAATGATAAATGAATTTAAAAAATTATTTGAATGTAAAAGGAGTTCTGATTTTATTAAACAAAACCTTTTCTAGTGTATTGAACATATCATGATGAATGAAGAAGAACACGATGAAAAATTTCTCGATGAGTTAAAAGAGATGATTGGAAAGACAGATAGACCACTTACTGTGGTTGTAATCGGAACACCTGGAGCTGGAAAGTCCTCTTTTATAAACACCATGATAACAAGCATAACTGGAAAGTACCGACAGTGGACAAGGCCGGGAGATAACGGGGGATTTGGAACGCCAGTCACCCCTCGTGTAGTTCGGTAATGCATTTTGATGAATTTTTCTTCTGTCAATTAACGATTTCACATTTAATGATTGTAGGAAGCATTTATAAATATATATTGAAAAGCATATCTCTTGAAATTGTTACGATTTGTCTTTTTGTTAGAAATGGAGGAATAAAATTGAAATAAAAGATAAATTAATTACATTAACAAACTGTATTGCTTACTATATATGAAATACGTTTTTATTTCCTGTTGAAGAACATGTATGTGATTTAATTGATGAAAACATCATATTTAATACTTTAGGATCCTAAGAGAGGAATATATATCCACTGCTGACAAATCACTTCAGGAGTATAATTTTCCAAACTTTATGGACATATCTGGAATTCAGAATTTAAATAACGAAATTACAACAAAGCTTTTAGAATTAATATTTTATGGAAGAATTCCTTCTAATGTGTCTCTTGAAGAAGTTGCAGAAAATATCAGGTGATTTTAAAGCGACCTCTTACATTTGTGTTTCAGAGACATTTAAGACAGTGAAACCTTAAAATTCTAAACTCTAATATTTTTGCAGTTCAAGTAAACTTGGAGTGTGGTTAACGGAAAAGAAGTATCCAAAAACGCCAGAATGCAAGAAGATCGACAGAATTATTTTTATTGCTTCGGCTGCAAAGCCTGGCTTACCACTTGAGCTAATGCAAGCTGTATTAAAAGTTCTTCGGAGAAAAGGAGGTTCAAATTAATTATTTTGTAATACAGTATGCAGAAAGTGTTAAAATAGTATGAAAGTGACTGTATGAGTGTTTAAGTATCCTTTTTATCTATAAAATGTATTTTTTCACCTCCCTCTCTGAGTTCATGCAAAAAGAAAAAAATGCCAATTTTTTGAAACACAAGTTGTGATCACATAATTGACACCAGTCATTATTTATGTATAGGGAAAAGGCGATATCCTTGACATGACCTTATCTTTAATATAAGACGTTTAAATTAAATCTCACTGATACAATCACTTAATGAGATTGTCTTCCCGATTCTTTGAAATTTTCATAAATTTTGAAATACAAGAAATATAAGGAAGACTTTATTGGATAAAGTTCTCGTATGTAACACAAAGCAAATTTTATAGATACTTTATGTCAATAAGACCTTTTACAATCCTTATTTTCAAAAGTGGATAAATATCTAAACAGATCAGATTCGATGACCAACTATCTAAGATACAACCATCCTCTCTTTGTACATATTGTGAGATTATTGTTTTAAACTTTCTACATTTAAATGTCGTAGATATTTAGAAAGATTTAGAGCTCTGTGAAGGTATATATGTCATCTTATCGTACGCGACATAACGTATGTGCTTACCCGCAATGCATATGCTATCGACCCACAGATATTGGAGCTAAAAGACTAATTTGATAGTTTGGTAGTTTTGGGGTTTGGTGTAAAAATCACACTGACGTGTCTCGTGTCCTATTTTAAGCAGCTTGATTGTGACGGTACATTTTGTCGTCCTGTACATATTGTCACCGGCGATAAGCTTTACTTTCCCTCACATGATCGTTCATAAGTGAATGTCATAAGACAATGCAAGGCAGTGCTCACACATCAATTTCTATATAACTTTTATGACTAGTCGGTGTTTCTGAGAAGAAATGCTTTAAAGATTATTCCTCTATATTGCTATGTAAATCTTTGATCGCCCATTGTGGCTCAATCCTATGCCACCCGCAGTCATTATTTTAGGATACTTAAATTTGCACTACCCGATAATGCTTCCATATAAACATGGGTTGATATGGTGTTGTTGTTTTTGAGAAGATCTTAAAGGATTTTTTTGATATCTATTCCTATGTAAAACTTTGATCACTTATTCATTATGGCTCTACCCTACCCTCGGGGATAGTGATTTGAACAAAACTGACGACGATATGTACAATATGACAATATGTATAGGTACAGATTCCATGACTTTGCCGCAAATGCATTCGCTTACTTATTTTTTAACTATATTTAAACAGATATACCAGTCTTCGGTGTATTAACAAAGAAAGATCTATGCCAAGAAGAAGAAGAAGAATTAAAACAGATTGAGATGAACTTTAAAACAACCCTTGGATTGTCTAAATTAAACTATTTAAATTGCACAAACTACTGTGATGAGAACATTGACGAAATTCAACAGAGGATAAAGACACATTACCCTGAATTAGACAAACCTGTTCACAAGTTTCTGATACAGGCAAGGATGATTTGATATTAATTCGGATGAAATCGTTATGCTTCAATTTAATGTGATTCTATACCTTTTTAAAATGTTTCCGCGATTAATTCATCCATTTTTGTATGCGCCTTACAAATGAACGACCATATGTTATGGTCCTCTAAATAAAGTTAATTTCAAATTCAAAAGCTAAATACGTGGTTTTTGTGTTAAGGAATATCTTGCATACCTTTAGCAAATCTAAGGCAATAAGAAAATTGGTTATTAAAAATATTTTCTGAAAGGAAATTGAGAATTGAGATTACATATGCACTATAAAATTGCAACTAGATTTGTGTAATGTAGCATATATACTTTTTATAGGTTTTGGATCCCGTAGTTCAGAGTATTGATTTTCATACAAGTCCTGGATCTTCAAAAGAAAGAGTTATTGAATTGGTGTACAAAATGGTTGCCACATTGAAAGGAATTGACAATATGCATATGCTCTTCATGATTGCTGTTATTTTGCTGATTGCCATTATTCTTGCATTAGTGTTTATGCGACCTTAAAGAAATCCTGTATCTGTGAATATCAACTCTTGTTTTTTTTCTCTAAAATCAAGTCGTATTTTACAGAAAATAGCCCGACTTCATGTTTCAAAATGTAATTCCTTTCAGAAAAATAAGATGCTTTATAATTGTGTACCAACTGCACACAAAAAAGCCTACACCCAAATTGTTCGATTTTCCAAAGAATTGCCTACCGATTTTTGTCTACTAAATACGTCATTGAATTGAATATAGAGTTAATTGATTACATGTAGCAAAAGTTTTAATTGAAAAAAGCATTGTTTTTGACTGAAAATCAGATCGCAAATGCAAGCATGCTTCCTTTCTTGTATTTATTTTTTTTAACTAAATTTGAGAATCTGTTTGGGTATTGTACATATCGAGGGTAACACATGTTGCATGGAATTTCATAATGTTAAAAAATTCTTGAAAGTTTAAATATTTTTTGGTGGACGTCTAATTTCAGAATGTATTAGGAATAGCTAAAATTTTTATAATGCAAAAACAAATCTATGTTTAATCCATCTTATCAATGACTTTATATTTTATTGCAATCTGTAGCGAAGTGGCTGCCAAATTAATTAACTCTATATCTTTATGAATACATATAGCTAATGAATGATATGTCAAACAAGTAGTTATTAAGCATTCTAATGCAATGGAATAATGAAAAAATACGTCGTTCCTAATGGCATACTAATGGTTAGTCATTATTTAAACACTTAATTTTGAACGAACTTTTCAGTTTGTCCGATAATAACAATGTTACCGATTGACAAAGGATGCTCAATACTTCATGGCGCACTCTAATAGTTTCAGAGGTTTGTCTTTTCTCTGCTCCGATCTTTATTGTTTCAATAAATTGTTGAGCTCGATTATTGATTTTTATCTCCATATTTATATAGAATAATGTTATTTTACTGAAATGCAAAAGAAACGCAGCATCCTATTTTAGGGGAAACTAATGATATATAGTAAAGAATTTTGTGTCTCAAAAGTATTCATATCTTCAATTTTGTAAATATCGATAATTTTACGGTTGAACGATTTTCGTACCATTTCCGGAAGGGTTATTTCCATTTATGCCTGCTTAAAAGAAATAAAACAAATTACATGTTTAACAAAACATTTGGCAATATTATGGAGTTTTAAAGGTTTGTAACTGTTCATCATTAGTAATACAGCAATATTTCAAAAAATATATTCTCCTTTCGTTTCTCGTAGCAATGCTCCGGATTCCTGAAAATGGCATAAGTACGCATTTCCATTGTTCTAGCTGGAAAATCCCAAAATAAAGGTGATGAAGAGTTACTGATGCAAAAATGCGCTACATTACGTCTCAGCAAGCTTTTCGTATCATATGCATGAATGACAGTCCGTGGACCGAAAGTTCAAGTGTTTCTACACTACGTTACATTAGAGAATATTCTACCTTATCAACTGAAAAGCAGGCATTTAAAATGACAAAAAATATTTCCTTGCTCAGATCTTCATATTGATGAACCTATTGCATCGTAGAAATTAAGCTGCAATTTTTGTGTAGGGCGGTCTTGCATGCTTTAATTGAATGTATGGGAGGGGATGTTTTAACAGCCATATATATGGTATTTTTTAAAGTTAAAAGATAATCATATTACATTTTTTATCAACTGTCTTCTTTTGAAAAGTGAGTTTAACCTTAGTGGATTCATTTTTGAAAATCATTAGATAAAAATTTCAAATATTTGTAGATTACTGCTACATCTAGTTGCGTTTCGGTATATTTCACGATCTTTTATTTTTTTTTTCACATGCAGAAAAGGCAAAAATATATCATAAAAGCAAAAGAAAGCTTACTTCAAAAATGATTTCATCCGGTTAATCTTGTATTAGTATTGTATTATAGATAAGTTATATTTTTAAAAGATTTTAAAAGATTTTATTAATGAGGGCTTTATATAAAAGCACTTTTTTCCTGGTGTAAAAGCCTATTTTAGATGTAACGATGAAGAAAATCTTGATAAAATTTTGTCCTTTGTTTTTTTTTATTTCTGAAAACAACAACTATCAATACATAATTAATAAATACAATTAAAGTACTTTTTTTTTAAAATAAAAACAGAAAAACATTCTTCATCCCTTGTTTTCAATATTTATTAGATATTTTGGAGAGTATTTGGTCAACTAAAGCCAAACACCCTTTGAAAAAAAATTATTCACGACATCAAATTGTTTTTATAGACTGAAGAAGTGAAGAAAACAAATAAGTGACTCCATCAGTGAACCCCTTTTCTGAAAATTCTGATGGCATCTAGTTAATTCTTACATGATTGGCTTTGTTGTGCATTAATCGAGGAAATATTTATTCAAAACTGACCTATACTTATATGAAGAGTATAGTTTGTGACGTCAAAAAACAAAGATTGACAATAAACTACCTTGAAATTATAATATGTTCTGTTTATTAATTTATATACTTCATACAATTTATAGAATTCAGCATATTTCAAGAATTTTTCAAAATTTGACTTTTGTGGCGGCAAATATATGCAGCATACCGCATATAGTTCTTTAGACCTATACTCGGCACTCAAGGCCATTGAGCAGTTAGGGTTCTATATAGTGCCAACGCCTACTGTGACACCGGACCTACATTTTAAGGTCATATCCGAAAGACTCGTGACTTTCACTTTTGATGCCGAGCGCTTGGCGAAGAAACAGGCACTACCCATATTTATGTTTCCAAAACGAAGTTGGGGAACATATTGTTTTTACTCTGTTTCTTATTAAGGTCTTCCGTCTCCAACGGAAGAGTTTATTGTTTTCGTTCGGTTTCTTTTTCCCTATTATTATTATTAATTTTTTCTTACCGATTTTGTGCACGCAATTTCTCAAAAACGGCTCACCCGATTTTCACCAAACTTTCAGATCTGATAGATATTTATCTGAACCTTGTCGGAAATTTTCGTCGTTGATGACGTCACTTCCTGTCGTGAGATATGGACGATTTTCTGATTTTTAGAGGGTCGGCTTGTCCTGAGATCTCCTCCTAAACGACTTAAGATATCGACTTGAGATTTTCAGTGAAGGTAGAGAAAGGATAGTAAATGTGACCTTTTGCATATAGACTTTTCCAGGTAAAAAGGCATCGACGCTCGCCTGGGCTCGAAAAATAGGCTCATACGCATCTCGCAAAATTGATACGTTTTCTTTTATATCTTTTTACCTGTTAACATTTTGTTAAGACATATAAAATAAAAGATGTGCAATATAGTAAGATCTTTCATTTGATATCAAGAAAATTGGGATAGCTCTTCAAATTAGGGGCATAGAGGGGCCAAAAAAGTCTCTCGTCTTTAACTCTTTAATGATCAACATTTTGTGATACATTACTGAAGCAAAGACATTCAACCTAACGATTTGCAGCAATATATGCTAAAAATTTGATCATATGTTACGTAATAAATTGTCACAGGGGGCTAGAATGCTAAATCTTTGACGCTTTATATCTCGAAAAGCGTGAATATTTTGATAAGCAATGTTGAACAAAAGATGGTCAAAATAATGTTCCCAAAAAATGCATACTTTTAATTTTTTTCATTTTTTCCGCAGACACTTCCGTTGTAAACCGGAACTATATCTAGTTGAAATACATGTATAGCGATTTCTTTTTCTTTTTCTAATGAATGTAATTGTTCATTATAGAGATTTAAAGAATGCGTAGAATCTTAATATTAACACCGGAAGTACGGTTCGTTAGAACCGGAAGTTGTCTATAAATGAGTATTTTCCATCGAAACTTTCAGGGATGATTTCTACATGCTTGATGTAGAGTTGAAAGACGTTTTGAGCACATACGGTCGTACCGGAAGTGAAAAAAGAACCGGAAGTTGATTGGAATTGATAGATCCTACATTTTTTGTGTTTCTAAACATATTTTGAAGAATTTTTGTACCTTTTTGACATCTTTTATCCTATCAATGGAATTATTTTTTTAAATGTTTCGTTATAAGTACAGTAAATGAAAGGCTACATGGCTATACCTTGAAAAAATACTTCAGTTTAAACTAAAGTATTTCTATGCAAATTCAAAAGGAAAGTAGCTTTCCTTTAAACGTGTAGAAATTTTGAGTCAACAAACAACATATACGTTTATATTCTTTGAAATACAGCAGACGAGGGTTATTCGAAAAGTTCGTGGACTAGTGCCATAAAATTAAAACCGCTTAAGATACATCTATGATTTTTTTAACGTTTAATTAGCAACATCTTCTTTGTTTATATAATACTATATGCATCATTAATTATCTTTATGAATAAATTGTTCATAATTTTGAAAGCAATGATATGTCCAGGCGGCGCAACCTCGAAAATTACGGGTTTTTTTTTACCTAAGTGTAACTGAGAAAAAACTTTTTTCAAAAATGCTATTAATTCACTCATGTGGCATTACACAATTATACCGTAAAATTTGCAGTTTTAGCCCCATTCTGTGAGTTTAATGTAATTTTATCGTAAATTTTATGTGAAATGTCTAAACAATTAATGGGTTGTAATGACATCAGAAAGAGGGGTAGGTTTCTTTTTCTAAAATACTATAAAGTCCCACCCCTGGAAAAACTGACATGGCCCAAGGCAATATTTATATGGGCTATTGAAAAATAAAATGCATTCAAAGTACTTGTTTTTAAATTCCAAAACAGATTAAAAGAGACGAGAAATGTAAAAGTTTATATCGATTTGTTGAAAGATAGTTCAAAGTTGATCATATGTGATAAATGTGGAACTCCGACAAGCAAATATGCTAATCAAGTGAAAATATGTCACTATGTATAGATCTATTAACAATATTACATGTATAAGCATTCAAAATAAGCTGTTTATGACATTTCAAAATTATATATACAAGACAAGTTTAAATCTTTACTTAACTATAAGGAATCTCATCAAGATAAGTATCTTATGAGGTAGAGAATATGAACATTGAGAAACAATGACGTCATGCAACTAAATAGCGACTA